GCCGGTTTCCCTTCAGGGTAGTATTTTGTGTGAACTCTGGGGGCTATTTTCCTTCTCTGGGTCTCTGCCAATGGCAGAGTCATCTGCGACAGGACTCTCTCTGCTCCCTAAGGCTCCTTCACGCTACACGGTTCCGAATATGCCAGGCACGATGCTGGTTGCTGAGGAGCCCTGGTGGCACAAAGGTTAAGTGCTCAACTGTAAACCAAAAGGTCTGTCATTTGAACTCACCAACCACTTTGTGACAACCTGCTTCTGTAAACACTTACAGCCTTGGAAACGCTCTAGGGCAGTTCTCCTCTGTCCTATGAAGATGCTGTGAGTCAAAATTGACGCGCTGATAGTGGGCCTTTTTGAGTATTCTGGTGGCTGTATTCTTAGCAGGGTCAGTTTTATTCCATTCCTTGGACAACATGATTAGGCTCATTGGTCCCACTGCTCAGGAAAAAGCCTGAATGTCTAATTGCATTCAGGGCCTCGAAATCTGGCTGTATCCCCTTAACTCTCCAATCCCTTTTCCAATTCGCTTGTGTGGGGTTCATCTACACTTAGGGGAGACAGGAAAGCACAGACCAGGATGAGCACAGTGATGCACACTGGAGCCTGGACTGTGACAAATGGAAACTACCTGCCATGGGCACTTCTAGGGCAAACTGTGTGGAGCCTACCTCACCTCTCATGACCCTGCCCCACAGGGTGGGTCCCTGAGGGCAACTTTCCCTCCACCTCCTCTTGGGGAAAGCAAGCTATTCAAACAGATCTAGAAGCCGGCTTGGCCATCAACTGCTCTGCCAGGAATTGGGAAGTGAGGGGTGGGACCAGCTGAGTGACTTTCAGACCATCAGTAAGCATGTGAGCCTGTGCTTGGGGGTCAGTGTGATAAGTGAGCAAAAGCACTGCTCAGACGTGCAGACAGCCTGCTATGCAGAGGCAAAGGACAGGAGGAGGAAGCCGCTGCCTTAGTGCCCGATGACTTCCCAGCCTCCAGGTCTATCTTTACTCAAACGCTTACCTTTCCCTTAATTCCAACTCCTGATGATCCCATCCATGTGCGTCCGAGTGGATCTGTGCTCCAGGGAGTCGGGGTTTTCCACAGCTGGTGTGTTTCAGAAGTCTACTACTAGCCCTTTCTTCAAACGCACCTCTGGGTGGACTCAACCGGCAGCGTGAACTGTGTGTACCACCCACAGACTCCTGATCTTTATGTGCTGTTTGTTAACTCCATGAAGTCCCTCTAATTCCTGGAGACTACTTCCCCTCCAGCCTAAATGAGCTTGCTGTGAGTTTATGTTTCTTGCAATCAATCTCTAAACTGACATAATTTTTATACTACAATATAGACCTATCGTTAAACAGCATGCAAAATTTGCAAAAGATATTCAAAATGAGATCCTCTCTAAAGCAAGATTCAAAACCACCAAAGCCACAAAGGAAAAGATGAACTTGATTACAACCAAACTTAAAGCCTTAAGGCATGATACTAATTTAGACAACCATTCCCTGTAATTACGCCCCTCATCAATAGCATGCATGTTTCTATGCATGTACACCTGGGAAGCAGGCACATTTCACAACTCTTCACAGCAGTGACCTCTGGGAGGAATACAGAATCCGTCACAGGAGATTCTAGCCTTTTCTGTTGTGTTGGCAAATTTTTACTTAAAAATGAAGATGTATCTATTGGGATGGCATGTTTTGTTACATATCTTTTCACCACAATAAAGAAAAAGTATGTCCTTTGCGCAATGAAAACTTGGTATGAAAATCTCAGGAAACAAACAAAAACACAAAACAAAACTATAGAAAATACAGGCCATAGGGTCTGCTCCATCCAAGACCACCAGGGGATGTCCGTTCTCCAGCAGTCTGAGGCAGGAGACAATGAATTCTCAGCTCTGGTCAAAATGCTTACGTAGTCCCCATAGGTCTCTGGGACCACTCCCTTTTCTTCTTTACTTAGTGAAGCTCTGTCATCCTTCCAGACCCTGCTGGTAGTCTCACCTCTTCCAGGAAGTTCTTCCTGACTGCACCTCTCCCCATTGGCTTCTATGGCACGGAGGGTACCTAGCACCAGCATTTGGAACAGACTTCTCCAGTTCCTACTTATCTTTCTAAGAGAGGCTTATCTCCCTAACAGCCAGCAAACAAGAGCAGTATCTTTATGTCCTTGGTGCCTAGCAGAGAAATAGCACAGCTTTGGAGTCAGTCAGGCCTGCTGGGTGACACAGGACAACTGCCTTAACCTCTCTGGGCCTGTCTATCAGTAAGATGGATGAGACCAGGTCCCAATAAAAGAGTGATTCACATAATAATTCTCTTAATACTCTCTCAGAGTTAAAAAACAAACATTAACAATGCAGTAAGGTTAAGCAGGGAGGGATTACTGAGTCCCATTTTACAGAGGAAATAGTTAAGGCAAGGAAAAAGTAACACGGAGAAGACAAGGTGATGAATTTTAGTAGTAAAGAGAAAAGGGGAGAGACGATGTGGGTAAAAATGTCAATCTCCCACTACTCAGTCACGTGAGTCCTTAAGAGTTGGGCTGTGATCCATAAGGTCAGTAGTTTGAAACCATTAGCTGAAAGACATGACTTCCCACTCCCATTAACAGGTAGATTCTTGGAAACTCACAGGGGCAGTTCTACCCTGTCGCATAGCATCTTTGAGTGGGCATCAACTCAATGGCAGTGGGTTTAGTTTGGTTACCCTGTCTAGCCATCAGCTTCATCTGAAGAGTTCCTAGTCACCGTATCTCTACCTTCAATGTCCCTCAGCCCTGACATTCTAGTTGCTTGTGATTGGCCCAGGGTCCCTCCCACCAGGTACCTGTCACTCCCAGGAAACCGGCTGAGACTGGAAGATGTAATTTGAAAATTCAGTTGCACTTTGATTCACCCTGGGATGGGGAGCAGTAGTCATACGCAAAACTAGGGGGGAATGCCAACATCAAACTACATGTAAATATAAACAGGAATGCAAAACTACGCTGGAAACCTCAGGAAGTCCATTCCAAAGGTCAGATTCTAGCTTTTTGGGCACAGAAGTGCTGACGAGGAAAGTTCCGCTTGGGTGGCACGGGCTTTCTGCTGCAAAAATGAACCCTGGTGCACACAGAAAGTAAAGGAGGCTCAGTTTTGTCTGGTATGACCTCGGGCGGAACCAAGGCCTGAGCAGCCTGCTACTGCCTCCCACTCACACAAGCGCTTACACAAACGTAGAAAGCAGGGCCAGATGCGCGGGCATCAATGGACATTTCTGTCCGTGGGGAAGGGTTCATTGTGCAGCCCCTCCTCCGGCTCCTGCTGACTTCTCATTCTAATGAATGACCTGGAGAGTAGGGAGAGCGGTGACAGGCCTGAAGACACTCATGGCGAGCTGAGGGGCTCTGAGGCTAAAGCTCGGGAAGTTTCCCAGGATGGGGCTGGGTGGCAGTAATTTCCCTGTGAGCCTCCCAGGAAACAATCTGAATTCATGTGCAGGAGGGCCCAGGCTACTTGTTCTACCCACGGAAGAAAGCGGTCACTGGCTACTGCTCATTCTAATGAAACACATACCCCCTACTATGTGCAGAGCACTTGGCCAGGTTCTAGAGAAAAAAGAGGCCCAAAGGAACCCAGTTACTACTATCTAAAGAGCTCTATCAATTAACCCGATATATATCATTCCACTTATTAAGACGTATGTATGATGTATGGATTGTGATGAGATATATAAGAACCTCCAATAAAAGTATTAAAAAAAAGATGTATGTATGCAAATGCATCCAGAGGCTACCCAGAGCACCTCCCAAGAAAGACCTGGTGATCTACTTCCAAAAAACAAACAAACAAAAAGCCAGCCACAGAAAGCCGATGGAGCTCCTTAGGGTGACCATGAAGTGACATGAATGCAATAGCAACAACATGCTTTTTGCACGTTGCCTTATGTAATATTATAGCCTTGTGAGGTAAACATTATTGTGCCCATTTTACAGACGACATAAGTAGGACTCACCCAGATTAGGTCACAGCTGGTAAACTGCATAGTCACAATTTGAGCATTTGTCTGCCTCCCCAAAGTTGACCCTTACAGAGTGGCTTGACTGGGGATGAAGGTTCAGCCAGCCAGGCAAGAGCGACGCTCTCCAAAGACATCGACCGGGCAGCATACTATGAACCTTTCATCTATGGAGCCTTCTATCTGCCACACACAGTGGGTGCCCAGTGCACCAACGGTCAAGGCAAGCTGAGGTCCACGATGCCAGCCAAAATTCAGAGCATCTTCAGCAAAGGAGCTGCAAAAACACGACTGGCCCAAAGCCACAGGGTGTGTGCCCTAGAACACTCCCTGCAGAGGAGCCCGGGAAAGCTACAGACGATCTGGGAGGCGAGGAATGGACTCCGGGGAGTAGGGGAAGGGGTGGGGCACTCTGCAGGGGTGAAGAAGGGGCCGGGGACGCTCAGCTTGGAAAGACAAAGAGGATAGGGGAGGAGAGAGAGAAGGCTATAAACTTGCCAACAGCCTGGCCAAGGTGAACCCCAGCTCCTGGCGCCTTCCCATTCGCATTCATTCCATAAACACTGGCCAAATCTCAGAGGCAAGGGGGAGGGGGCCTCTCTGCAGTCCGGGAGAAGCTAAGTTCAGGGCAGAGGCAGGGAAGGCCTGCTTCTCGGAAGGGGAGTGACTTGGGGGGGAGGGGGGCAAACTTGTGGGGCTCCATAGATGGGAATGCGAACGGAAGAAGTATGGCGCGGAACACAAACACAAGCACCGGGGCTGGTCACCAAGAGCGTTTGGGGCATGTCCCCAACCTCTGAAGTTTGACATCGAAGTGCCCTCGAAGCCCCCCCACCCCCCAAAGCTCACTCCCGGCTTCGACGGTCTGAGATGCGCTCAGTTCTCACAGATGTAAGGAACCAGTTTCTGGGGGCGCAGGTGAAGAAGGGCTACCGGTCACACCGGCTGAAGGTCAAGGCCAGGCCTGGCCTGGCCCCCAACCCCTCCCGCCAGGGTCCCCTCACCTCCTCCCGAGCCAGCGCCGCCCCCCGGCACCGAGGCATCTTAGCGGCGAAGGCGGCGGCCCCGGCCGGAGAGCTGAGGTCCTCGGCAGTGACGGCCAGGAACTCGGCGACGCTGAGCTGCTCGGGCATGGCGGGCGCGGGGCGGGGG